TAGTAAACTATTCTGTGTTATCCACATTTGAAACTGGTATTTTATCTCTAGTTTCTAAAGGGTGAAAGGATTTGTTCTACTTGCCTTATCCATATTATGGCTAAAGTCGTTAACAAGAACTGTAGTGAAAAAATTCTGTGTTATCCACATTTGAAACTGGTATTTTATCTCTAGTTTCTAAAGGGTGAAAGGATTTGTTCTACTTGCCTTATCCATATTATGGCTAAAGTCGTTAACAAGAACTGTAGTGAAAAACTTCAAGTTGGTGGACAGAAAGAAAGTATAATCTTACTTTCTCAGTGTAACATTTATTTTTCTCTAACAGGATATAGAACGGAGGAAGGGCCCAACTAAGAATTTATTAGCAGTCATAAAACAAATTGGGGTCAGAGTGGTACACAGGCAATAAATGTTCAAAGGTTGCCAAACAGTATGACTCGTCTGTAGACCTCTAACATTCCAGTACAACTTAACAGTGAAATACACAGATAATACATAAGAATTTAAGCCACCGAGACTCATTTTGATTGCAGTGGCATAGAAATATGTTAAATAAATAAATAAATTCCCATTTGTAGTGACAAAAAGCTCCAGTTCTATCCAAAATACATACATAGCATGCAAACTATTTTTAGATCTCTAAAAAAACCCCATAAATATAAATTTAAATTTAGCAAATAAACAATATAACATGTAACTATATCAACTTTAATTCAACAGGTAACATTTATGACAGACTACTTGGTTAAAGACCATGCATGCCATCAAAGGAGTTCTAATTCAAAAGAAGTATTTGCACGACAGACTAAATCACACACATTTAAAGAACTTGTTTATCATGAGGACTCAGAACCTGGGATAATACGCAATTCATATCCAAGATTACTCCCAGTCTGTCCATGGTGGTGGCTCCAAGCCAAATTAGGACATTAGAGTTTTATTTTTTGTTCTCAACTGTAAAAAGGAAAAAAGGCAAGAAGTGGAACCCTATGGTGAAAGATATGCAGTTCGAAATAGCTGTTTCCTGTTTACTTCAGTTGTCTGGTGCTGGATTAACAGGTACTTATCAGCTGATCCAGAATGATTAGGCATTTGATGCGTGTATGCTCAAAGAGGTAGGGTCTCACAGATGTTTTATTAAACCATCTTCTGACCTACAGGGCATCAAGTGGATTGCCACCTCTACATCTAACTTAGCACTTCGGTTATGCTAGAGCGTTACTGCTCAGGGCAACATTCAACATTCTGCTCCCTGGCCGAAAGACAAAGGCCGTATCCCAAACATACCACCCAAACGTGCATATAACATCAACAACAAAATTGCAGGCATTCTTGAATCTGCTTAAGTTAATTTAATACAGGTAGTCCTTGACTTATGACCAGTTGGTCAGCGATTGAAATTATGAACATGGTGAAAAAATTGACTTATGACTGGTGCCCAGAGTTACAGCCAATGCAGCACCCCTGCAGTCACATGATTGATATTTGCATGCTTGGCAGCCCACCCACATTTACAACTGTAGGTGAGCTTCAATTCCCCCCACCCACCTATCTCCTCCCCATCTCTGCCTTTTTGGCCGCCCTGCACCCTGCCTTGTGGGATGGCAAGCAGCCCCAGAACTGTGCAGCTCTGGGGCTGCTTGCCACACTGCAGCTCAGGGGGTTCTTGGTGTGCTGCAGCTCTGGGGCTGCTTGCCACACTGCAGCTCAGGGGGTTCTTGGTGTGCTGCAGCTCTGGGGCTGCTTGCCACACTGCAGCTCAGGGGGTTCTTGGTGTGCTGCAGCTCTGGGGCTGCTTGCCACACTGCAGCTCAGGGGGTTCTTGGTGTGCTGCAGCTCTGGGGCTGCTTGCCACACTGCAGCTCAGGGGGTTCTTGGTGTGCTGCAGCTCTGGGGCTGCTTGCCACACTGCAGCTCAGGGGGTTCTTGGTGTGCTGCAGCTCTGGGGCTGCAAGAAGCCCCTGAGCTGCAGTGTGAAGCCACAGCCGCCCCTGGAAGCCTCAACTGCCCCAACCCACCCCAACAGCATGGCACCAAGCCACAGCAGCCAGGAAGCCCCACCAAGCGCCAGCGAGAGCCAGCAAGCCAGAGTGCCTGGGAAGCCCCAGCAAGCATTCATTCGCCCAGCTGCCTTCTCTTCCAGTTCCCTGTACCAACCTTTCACCTTTTGCGCCCAGCTGCCATGACCAAAGCAGAAGCACCTTGCTGCCTTTGCTGTCTCCTTTTTGGACCTGCAGCCACCATGCTACCCCAGGAGCTCCAACTTCTCCGGTGAACACTTCCTACACGTGGTTCCCCAGCCCAGCAGTGTGGTGCAAATAAGAATGCCAACCAATGGGGAAGGCCAGAAGCAGTTTTACCCAATGGGAAAGCACCAGGGGTTGGCTCAGGGAGCCACATGTAGGAAGTTCATGTGACCTCTTGCTTTACGACCGCATCACTTAGTGATAGAAATTCCAGTCCCAATTGTGGTAGTAAGTCGAGGACAATTTGTATGTCTCTGAGTGTGTGTTTTATAAAATAAAATTTAAAAATGAAACCTGGCTCATGTAAAGCAACAAAATCACCTTGAAGATACAATATACTTCTATTAGGCATGCAAACAACAAAACAGTGTACACCAATCTCCCAGCAAAGCATTGGCAGGTTGTTGAGCAGCCCTGAGCAAAAACAGAACCACAGCTTATATACTGTTGGTGTACTACATTTCAAAGACAAGTCAAAGACAAAGCAAAAGGCAAACACAGTGTTCATTACAGCATGACATTGGAATGTTTTTTGACAAACCTATCTGGGCGACATTATTTATCCCTTCCTACTAGGTCAGCATGGCAGCTATGCTATCTTTAAGATATGGCCAGTGCTTATCAACCACTGGCTTACTTGGCCATTGGTCCTTGTTTGCTTCTTCCCTCTGTTGCCAAGCAGGGTCAATTCAGCTCGCTGCGAATGTTTTCTTACAAGGGCACGTGAAGACGTCCCCATGGAGGGAGGGGCATGGCATAGGTTTGATAGTGAATGCAGCTCATGGGTATGTGGGGATGTACTTTTTACCACCACAAAGGCCCCAAATTAAGCATAACAACAACTGAGGTAGGCTGAGCTCCTCCTTTAGAATAACTAGGGAGGCCTCTCCTGCCTAGGCCATCCTGTGTTCGATTCCAGCATGCTGTCCAGGGTCTAGGGCTGGACTTTCATTAAAAAGTTAAGCTGCTACTGTCACGTTGGCTATTTATTTATTTATTTTTTCAACTGCATGAAGGAAATTGTAAAATTAAGCATCATAATGAGAATGTAAAGGTAATGAGCCTGAACCTAAATAATAAGTTTCTTATTCATGTGATCATGTGATCAACCTGCTGCCAAAACGTTAGCTCCCTTCCAGTATATGGTATCCTATGCTATCTCAACATCCCAGGTGTCACTCTTGCCACCCTGGTTTTTGCAGACATGCACATTTTTAGTGGGGATGTCTAAAAAAGGAATGTCAAGGTGCATACAGTGAAATACACTGTACTACTGTAATACTTAAATTGAGAGCCATTTTGGTGTAGTGGTTAAAGACACTAGGCTGGAAACTAGCAGGCAGTCAGTTCCTGCCCTGCCTTATGTATGAAGCCAGCCGAGTGATTTTGGGCCAGTCACTCCCTCGTAGCCCTAGGAAGGAGGCAGGGCAAAGTGTTGCCAAGAAAACAGCACGGACTTATCCATGTAGTCACCAGGAGTCAAGACTGACTCGAAGGCACATGCACGTGTATGCACACACATAAGCACACAAATGCTTTAAAGACAATTACCTCCAGAGATGCCAACTCCATTTGAGAAATAGTGAGGGAAGCAAGCTCAGCCGGAGTGCAGACAGTGAATTGGCCAGTTTTTGAATGCCTAATGGGCTGCAGGCAAGGAATGAATGAATGAATATTTTCATTACGGTCGCTGACCAGAATTGCAAACAAAAGCACATTAAAAATAAAAATAAAGTAAAAATAAAACAAGATAAAATATTACAACTGGTGGTGGGTTCATCACTGGATAATCAAAGTCTGCCTAATTTTACAGGCAGTATAAAAAAACTTAGCTACATTCAAGGAAACTGAATCATACTGATCTGGTACCAAAAACCGTACATAAAAAAGATCAGAATTTCCAGGGTGTTTTACCAGGTAACAAGTTATAAGGCGGGTCCTTGAGTCCTTATAGAGGGAACAGTGTAACAGCACGAGAGCTGTAGTTTTCAACAGCCCCTTGTCCGCATGGGCACAGCCTCGGCTCAAAGGGGACTTTTTTGTATCGGCCCTCCAAAACTGCTGTGAGGGGAGCGTTGATGTGTGCTGAAGTTAGTACTCTTCGGAATTTGGAAACAGAGGTGTGGTGTAAGTACCTTTCTGGTTTGTAAAAAGGGGCTTGACTGCTCAGAAAAACATTATTGGATAGAACAGACTGGTCCCAGGCAAGGACCATTATGTACGCAGCCCCTCGCTCTTAACCAAGGAGAAGGGCATTTATAACCTCTTTTGGAGTGGGTGGCTATAATAAATCTAATAAATGATGATAATGATTTCTACTTTTTTAAAAAATGGGTACTTATTAGCTGGAATTTGGTTTTCCAATTTCATACCATGGAACTTTACATACATATACATTGGTATATTTTTATGTTCATCAGCTACATCTAATGTTCCTCAGGTTATTATTTTAAAGTTGGCTAAATCATATTGGCTGTGCTCACACCATGTGTTAACAAGGGCTACCTGCAAAGCCAAAACATACCACATTATTACTCAAAACATAAAGTGCTTGGTTTTGGCTTACCTAGTTTAGTTTATAAATCATAGTTTATGGTTCTGAACCTTGTCTGAATATAACCATTAGCTTCTATGTTTACCATTCTATTTTAATTATGCAATTTTAAAGCAATGAATAGAAGCACTAAAGACTGGATGAGATGCTAAAAATTTGATATTTACATAACTTCTTGTCATTCTGACTGAGCACAAGTTTGTAATGCTTACCCAATCTGGGGACTGGACAAAACAAATAAGCAAGCAAGCTTATTGTTTTGCATTTTGTGTAATTAATTCTGTCCTACATTGTAAGAATAGTGCAACAATTAATGAAAACTTAAAACATTTGGAGACTTACTAAAGAAAACCAATGATGGGATTGAAAGGCAAATTGCAATGAAATGTTGTTATTTAGTATGAGCACTATGGAAGGAATGTTTTTCAAATATTTTCTATATGCAACAGAATGCAATCCAGATATACTGAGAACATTAAACTGCCTTAGCCAATATCATTAATCTGGTTTCATGTAATTACCATCACTTGATATTTACATAACTTCTTGTAATTCTGACTGAGCACAAGTTTGTAATGCTTACCCAATCTGGGGACTGAAATTTGATGATCTGATTGATGGTGAATCAGTGAAAGTTCGCTTTAAAGTGTGGCCACATACATCTCACCAACATATCAAGAATGGGCAGGGGCAAAAATTCGAGCCCCAATTTTGCATTCTTTGGAGTTTTAGGTTGTTTTACAGGATAAGTGCTTTAAGCCCTGCAGTTGCATAACCCACTTATTTCACTCCTAGCATTCTTGAAAACCTGTCTGAAAATGGGCCCTTGCCTCACTTACTTTTCAATACAGGCCTTGACATGTTACACAAAATCTTGTGTGACCTTCAAACCAACAGAAGTTGCACTTTTATTTTATAGAATGTAAAATTAATGTTTTTTGTCTTAGAATGTATCTATTACAATAGAATTTAATATAATTCTTTTATTTTTGTATATATTGAAAATCTCAGAAATTAACTGATTAGGTATGTGCAAAATCTATCTTTCTGGGAATAGAACATTCAATTTCTCCAGCTTTTCCAGGAGTTGTCTAGAGGTTTTCCATAAGTTAATAGTAGATTAATAATAGGAATAGTAGGGTTTATACACTTTTTTTTTTAATTTGTAATTAGAAATATGCAAATTTCATTGATTCAAAAATGGAATATTATGCTTCCCTTCTGACCATTCCAAACCTCCTCCCAGATCATCCTGTTTTAGGGGTGATTTGGTGATTTCTAGAAGCAAATCTTCTAAAGTTGAAGCACTGCAAGGTATTCAGGACTGGGGATGGTCTAGCCCTGAAACAGGTGTGTTTCAGTAGAAATGCATGTCTGGAACAGCTTGAAGGGCTTCAGTTCAGAAGATTTACTTCCAGAAATCACTGAACAATGCCCAGAACACCTGATTTAACATGGAATTGGGGGAAACTCTGAAT